TCTGAAATGGCAAAACATTACTCCCTAGGTTAAGATGAGACTTAAAGTAATCCTTTTATTGTTCTTTTTTCCGGTTACAAAAATCTTTCTAATCAGCTGTGTACATAAGTTTGCTCTCTTTTTCCCCAGCTCCCTCACCTGTAGCGGCATCACGTATTAAGACCTTACCTATGATGTTTTGCGTAAAACATATCACACAAAGATGCAACGAAAACTCCACTATTTATCATAGTTGTTACATAAAAGAAAACAAAGACACACACAAAAGCAAAGAGAAAACAGGTTCCCCCCGAACGTTATTCACATTGTACTGTGAAAGGAGATGTGACATGTTATCCCTATCGAGAATATCTTCTAAGATCGAATTGAGATTTAGTAGTTGATTTTTGCAAAAAGGMGAAAAACAATAATCTGAATTAAAAGAGGTAAAAAAGGTTTCCCCATTTTCTCAGGAAACCGCACTTTGGCCGTTTTCGTTRGGCTGGATGGGACTAGAGAAGGGATTAGAAAAGACAGTATTTACTAGAGATTTYATACTGATACTCACCAGAATCTTCCTGTGATGGTCTTGCAAAGACACAAACASCCGCAAGCAACACGATCAGGATCACTCTTTCCATCGCACTACATCAGACAAGAATGGAAAAGCAACTTTAATTGCTCATGTTTAACTTTTTATCATAAGAGACACCCTGTTTAGTGCCTGGTAAAACCTGCATACTCACCAGTTTAGTATCGGTAAAAACGACAATTTTGGACTATTTTCCCTCATGTTTCTGATGATTTTAGACGACGTTTGTTTTGCTTTTTTCAAAGAATAAATAAAGAAACACGAAGAGAAAGAAAGAAAGACAGACAGACAGAGAGAGAGAGAGAGAGAGAGAGAGAGCATGATCAACGTATAATACTGCAAATGTCAAATAATTTTTAAACATACTTACACAAGATGATGCTGAAGGCCGGTATACAAGTTACGATTTATTCTCCTAACTGTCGCGCGCCACATGCTGACSACACAAATGGCTTCGTGTCAGTAAATTGACCAAACGTTTTGCTTACGACTTTCTTAAGCAGCTAAAACTTTGGCTAAGCATGTTAATTGCGCGCGACAGTCCGTGAGGAATAATAGTACCGTTTAAACCAGTCTTGAAGATAGCTTACCGATTTAGTAGCATACACTGTAAAGATGGTTCGAAAACGACTGAACTGCTCACTCGATGTCTTCCAAGCTAGCCAGCTTTTATCTACCTTTTAATACCATTACTAAACAATTAAACATTTCTTTTGTTAATTGTTTAAACTTGCTGATACATGTTGCTTCGTGCTAAGAGACGATGCCTTGAGACAAAATTAAAAGCTCAGCTTATGAATAAGAAAAAAGCTTTTGTTCTGAACTAGTAAACCTGACAACAGACTGTACCATCTAACACTGAATAAATTAAAGTAATAAAAGAGAAAGGACGTTTGTTCTGAGGTGAAAACCTATACAAAGTTAATAAAAACAGCATCCAAGCTTAAGGTGTATTTATACATATGCGTTTGAATTGAATTAATTATTATTATTCATTCATTCATTCATTCATTCATTCATTCATCCATTCATTCTCAGGACTACATCCACCCGGATGATCATATTACTTCGATTTTTTTTTTTTTTTATTTTTTTATTTATTTATTTTAATTTTTTTTTTTGCAATCCAAACTTGATAATGTAATACACAACTAAAGATTTTCATTTTAAACGAGTTTAAAAAAGGAGCCTGCTTCATTCTATGTCTTTGAACTGAAGTCGTATTTTTTTTTTCGCAATCGTAACTCGATATCATGTAATACATAACAAAATATTTTCATTTCTAGAAGTTAAAAAGGAACCTGCGACTTTCTAAATAACCCTTGATTTGAATTCGCAGCTTTTTTCGCAAACATAACTTGCTAACAAATTGTTCTTGTTCACTTCACGCTGTTTGCCTCGCCAAGATTCAGCAAGTGAAAGTTGCAACACGAAAAAGATGTTCGTTTTAACGAGTAAAAATAACCAGTCGTCGTTCTACATACTCAACTCTTTCATTTGCTGCCTGAACACCACTTTCATCAACCAATTATGTTGTTGAGTTCAACTTGTTGACATTGATCGATTGCCATGTTGTTTTTACTCCCTCAGAGAGTCAAAATACTATCGAATAACCCTTCGACGARGTTCTGTAGCATATTTAAGTACATCACTTCGATCTATAATTCCGGCATGTAGTTATGTCTGAATATGAAAAGAATAGACTAGAAAAAGAAGAGGCCCCTCGTGGATTTTTGTACGTTTTCACGGTAATTTATTTTTGAGCCACGGTTACTTTTGTTTGTTATGTTTGATCGGTTTTGTTATTGAGTTTGTTCCTTTACATACTAAATATTTTTGTACAGTCTTATCACACACTCATTCCCTCATTCCCTTGCTCATTCACTCGTTCTTTATCTTTCCTGGCTTCACTTTTTTGAAATTGATTTGGCTATGGTTGTCTTTATTTCTGTTGCTGTTTACTAGCCTGCAAGTTTTAATTTACTTATCTGTTTCACAAAAATAGAAAACACAAGGCAGCATATGACATATAAATAATGTGAAATACAAAAAAATATTTTTGAAAAATAGGAAATGATATACCCAGGAATAATATACCCAGAAAAGATTCATGAACAGTATTTATTTTAGCTCGTACGATAGCTGAACTAGCCTTGTGGGATGGCATTGACAGCTAAAGGGGGTGAAAAATATTGTCAGTGAACAACTTGTAATCCGAAAAGGGTCTTAATATAATTATTTAAAATTATTTCTAACACGACTGCTTTATGGCCCATGCACAATGTGCTTGGGCCATAAAGCCAGGGGAAAATTTTGGTCCATAATTTACTAATAAATGTACAATGCTTCTACCTTATTTTCAAGGCGATGGGCCTTTATCTCCTTTGCTCTGAATAGYCTTTTCAGCTTCTCTAGCTTATCTCATGATCTACATACATACATACTTTATTAGCATTCCCTTGTTTAGTCTGGCTAGCTCCTTCCTGTGCTCATGAACCGGGAACCTATTATTCTTTTTCTTTCTGTCCATAACTCTCAGCTCGCTGTCTAAATCTACTCTTTGATCAATTCAGTATCTAGAACTACATTATAGATAGAGGAACAAAATGACAACAACAATTGGAAATGGTAATGGCTTAACAGATAGATGCTCTACAATTCGAGCCCCTCACAGTGTTACAAAAGAACAAGAATAAGAGGGTTATGAACAGCAAAGAAACAAGTTCTCGAAAATAATTTGAATAGAACCAGAAACATGTAAGGGAGAACTACTATGAAAGGCTAGAACAGAAAACTTCAAAGCAGTTCAAGTAAAGCGAGGAGGCGAACGGTTGCAAAGACGTTCCAAGTTCGAACAGGAGACCCGTGTATCGCCGTCGTTTGCTTAACTCGCTCGGTAAGGACTGCTTGTAAAAATTGAAACAACTCAGAATATTCAAATCTGACATGGTTGAGACTAATTCATCGTTTAACAACAACCAATATCAAAAATTTGTTCTTTACAGAATTTTATYAACCCTTCAAATTAATTATAAACTGGTACTTATTCGTTTCCGTTCGGYCTGGCAAGTACTTGTCCATTCACCAAAGCCATTAACGCGCGCGAAACCCTCTAAATCGCCTTCAAGTCTGAAGCAAGATGGCTTCCTCCRGTTCCCCTGTTTGGCGAAGGTGTAGATCGATATTCATTCGGTGCTCATCCGAAGAATTGTCGACCTTTGATAAGACACGGACGAACAATAGATGATCTCCGTGGAGTGCTCGTGATACCGTCGGCCGCTAGAAATTCAGTCTATTTCTGTCGAAGCTAATAACTCTAGAACGCAGACGACAGAGCTAGCCAGATTTCGTTGAAAGGTACTTTAATAAGTAAAAAAGACATTTTTCTTTCCAGATTTTTGCATTATTGTTGAATTTCTTAGATAGCGGGCGTCGACATAGGTGATATAGAATCGCGCGCTTGCAAAATCGCCACAACATATGTCGWGCGATGAACARGTGTATTAGAAAAACAAGCCGAATAAGGGAGAACTTTATTARATTTTGACAAMTTTTTTGTGGTTTAKTAAAGGTRATAGCTGATGGTTTCAAACTTGATTAGTTTTCTAACATCGGATGCAGCGTTCGCTGTAGCGTCGCGAAGTGTTATGGGAATTTTCTCTCTGCCGCCATGGTAACAAAAACAATGGTAATTGATGGAAAACTTGCTACTAGTTAAAACCGGTGATTTCGTGCGCTCGCGAGCCACCGTGATTGAAAACAGGTAAGAAAAGAGCTCATTCATTCCCATTCTCCAAATATCACGAAATGAGGGCACTGGTGGTTCAGTGGTAGAATACTCGCCTGCCACGCGGGTGACCCGGTTTCGATTCCCGGCCAGTGCAATCTATTTTGTTTAATGAAGAGGGAAGTTTGGAGAACCTAACAGTCAGATGAGCTTTTTATTTGCAGCTTTTAGTGTTTTTTAAGTCCTTCTTGTCTGTCGTTTATTTTGTCCTTTTCTTTTTTTTAACCGCCTTGGATGCATTTGTCTGGTTTTTGAGAACTAATGCATATTGTTTGCTCATGTTTGAAACTGGTTTTATTTAAAAATATTTTGGTCAACAGAACATATATTCTTCACAATGTTTCTTTTGTAAGATAATCGTTGAAGTTTTATGCAACAAATGTTGCGTGTAAAAAGTATGTCGTGCACATTTGCACTTGAACKTGCACGGTGCACAACRCATGATTCACTTGTACACCAAATTCAAGTTCAAMCAATTGCTTGGCAARGTATTGTCGGTTCATTAATTTGTGTGCAAGAGTCCTAGAGATCTTTTCAGGCTTTTTCGCCGCTCTTTTTCGCTAAGTAGCAACGAGACGTAGTGACCAAGATGTTACTGTATTTATTCAGGAAATCCAGTTGAGGGCGTTCGCCCCGCTGACGTCAGAATTGCATATCCTTCCCGCTGTTATAAAAGCTTTGCTCAATGTCACTTGTGATATACATCTCGATAATTTAGTAAGTTCATTTGCAGACTTACATTAGGCGATATAGCTTATTAACGGTTCCTTTTCATCAAACGAAGGATTATAATTCATCCGAATGTTGGTATAAAATATAAACAATAATAAGCGCATTAGGACTGATTAGAGATTTGTTATCGAACAGATTTGGCTTGAGTTAGAGACACCGAAATGGCTTAGCGTGAGAATGTAAGGCATCCTAGCACTTGAATGGCTTCCGTGTAAACAGTGCCTTATTTTGGTTGTTTGATTGGATGTGGGAAACGGGTTTTAGATGCGCACTGTATGCCCGACTCACTATTCTATTTATTTATTTATCTTTCTCTCTATATCTTTCACCCCCTCCCTTCATTTCCTTTTTTCTTGTTTGCTTCTTTCTTATCGTTAACGTTCTCTTTCTTTTCCTTTTTTTTTTTTTTTTTTTTTTTTT